TTGTTATCCCCATGCCTGACTCTGGTTCACTTGTTTGGCTCATGCACCTTGTGGCAGAGCTCTGACCTTGCCCCCGTGGGTCCTGCGCTTCTAGGCAGTTTATGCTAGCTTCAGTGGCTTACTGTGACCCTCCACGTAGCCCTTCTCTCTCTAGGGCCAGGGGTACAGTCTACTGAGCCCTTTTCATCATAAGCCAGCAAGGAGGTTGGTGAGAGAACTCCTACAGTCTCAGTTGTTCCTAGGGGCTTGTTTCAGAACAAGCCTCCTGTCCTGACAGGGGCCTGTCTTCCCCTTCCAGGAGATGTTCCTGTAGTGGTGGGTTGGGGGGAACCTGGGCCGACCCTCTACTCCGGGTTCCAGCCCAGGGACCCTAATAGTAACAGCTGTTGGCAGCCAACCTTTCACTACCAGAGTTGCTACATTTCCCTGGGCCACTTCCCCACAGCTCTCCTGCTTCTCCCTTCTTCAGCCTTACCTTAGGGCTCCCTTATCAATAACTTGAGGGTATCTTCATTAACCAGCCCTTCAACCACACTTCCTCTCCTCTGCCTCTGCTCTACCTGACTGGACTGAGCCCTTTTTATAGTATCAGCGGGGCCTTAATTAGAGTCAGGTGGTCATATTAGCTTAATGGCCTCACCTGACTCTTTGCAGGTTAATTGGAGTCAGGTGTACTCATTAGCCTGGAGCAGCACCTGCTCTGGTTAGTCAGGGAACTGAAAACTGTTAATCCAGTAGCCAGTATATCTGCCTTCTGCTATTCTGCTGTACCCAACTGGCCTGGGTCTATCACAACCTGTTACATTGCCTTTTAGGTTGTAAGATTGCTTGGCCAGGGACTGTCATTGACTTCATGTTTGTACAATGCCTACCACAATGAGTATGTCTACATTGCAGCCTGAGTAGCCACCCATGCCATAATGTCCACCCTGGCAGGGTTACAACTAATATGCTTTCTAAGCAATGTCTATATCAATTTAGGGTTTGTTTGTTTTTTTACAATATCAAATGTCTCCAGTATTAGAAATAAAATAAAAGGAAAAAAGCTAAACAAGACAAAACCCACACCAAGCATGTTCCCAGCATGCCTTTCACCTTGTTACCTAGCAACTCTAATGCACTGTATATTATAGCCATAATTTAAGATCAATGAATAAACTAAGAAGCTAGCTGATGTAGTTATGTGTGAGCTTGGATCTATTCCAAAACCACTTCTCATAGTTTACCTGGGTATTAAGAATGCAGAAAACTTTATATTGATGATAGAAAAGTATTTTTCTATTCTCCCCAGATGCTTTGAATTTAAGTGTCAAAAACTGAAAATGTGACTTTGATAGTCTGAGACTGATTCCATGCATCCTTTTCTATTTGCAACTGCAATATTAGTCATTAAGGCAACCATTTGTATATGTCCAGCAGCAAAGGTTCCCATAACAGCAGAGTCCTCTAAGGTCCAATATTAAATTATTATGCAGTTCTTTAACACATATACCCCACCCCTTTGAAAATTAAAATACAAGATCACATTCGAACTCTAGGTACTGCACAAGTAGGCCTTCTGGTCAATGATATTCTATTATTCAGGGGACTGGACCTGAGGACCTCTTGAGGTCCCTTCCAGTTCTATGATTACATTTCCCCAAACTGAATGGGTCCAAATTTCCTCCTTATTTAACGCATCATTCAGTTTCATAAAGCATTAAGGTACAGCAGGGCATGTCACAGCAATTATTGCCCTTCTCCCAACCAGCTAGACAGCCTGGTACAAAGCTCACTGAAGTTAATAGGACAACAACCACTGGCTTAAAGGGCCCTTGGATCTGGTGTCTTAGAACATTGTTAGTGTGGCAGAGATGCCATCCCAGCACACACACCTCAGGGCAAGGCACAGCACTGCAGTAGCTCTGCCTCAGGTTCTCCAGACTCTTCCCTCAGTTTCCCCAGAAACCTCAGCACACTTAATTTGCAGATATAGCTTAGTCCTCCAGCCAAGGCACTGAGAAAGTCCAAACCCCATCCAGAGCTGCAGAGCCCCCATGTCAAAGTCCAACATAAATACAAACCAGAGGAACCTTCCACCCCATTACACTCAGCTTTCATGCCCCTACCTTTCAGGTGGATACCCGCTAACACCCACCCACAGGTACCTGGTAACAAATCACATCGATAACCTATCAGGCCTACCCTCCCACAGGGAGGCTATGACAGCCCACAATCTTCACTCAGCTCCAGGCTTCTCACACATGCTCACTCCCCTTCCTAGCCAGCCTCTAACTGCTCCCTCCAGGCCTGACACCTAGCACAAGTGCAGCAGGGTGGAGCTCACTGGGTGACTGCAGCTCCTCAGCTCCTTCCTGGCCAGTTTGGGTTCATACACCCCGTCACAGCAAGGCATGCTATGGACAGTTTTCTGTTGTGCTCTATTCCTTATTGGGATTGTGGGCCAGATTAGTTAGTCTGCTAAATTCATTTTGTACTATGTAAACCTCACAAAGTGAACCTAAACTGGCCAATGATTCCGCCTGGGAACTCCCTTGTTCAGGGGGAATCTGCCAGCAAAAAGCTAGCGGACCAGCATAGCTTCCTCCAGTGTCAGTTGTGGTGTAATCCAAAGAAGAGGGTGTGGTGGTGTCAGAGTGGGGATGGCAGGGAATGTGATGGATCTGAGCTCCACTACACCTACTCCCCCCTGTGTAGCCTCCATGCTCCCCAAAGTGGAAGCTAAACCCTTGCTGCTCTAACTACTAACAGGGCTGGAGATCAGGGAGCCTCATCTGGCCCCCTGCACCGGCCACTGGCCAATACAGCCATTATTTTCTGTCTCTTCATTATTTTTAAGTAAAAAATAAAATAAAATTATATCAGTGCATGACATTTTTAAAAACATGAACCATTATATTAGTGTAACCATTAGTTGTATGTGGTGCAGTTGTAGCTGTGTCACTCCCAGGATATTAGAGAGACAAGGTTTGGGAGGTAATATCTTTTACTGGACCAACTTCTGCTGGTGAAAAAGACAAGCTTTCAAGCCACACAGAGCTCTTCTTCAGGTCTGGGAACCATTAGTGACAGTTACACAAATTAACAAATACTTACCCTGTTCTTTCTCCATTAAATGTTCCAGACCTATGATTTTAATAATATTTAGTATTGATTTTATTGAACAATGGTTGTTTTAAAATGTAGCTAATCTAATTCATTTGCAAATGAGTTCTCACAGTAATCTCACATATCATTCTTCAATATTCTTCAGTGTGTGTTTGTTGGTCCAATTCAGTGTTCCTCCCTGGGTGGAATGGTCATAAAAGGCTATTGGAGTGTGCGGGGTTGTAAGGCAGTGAAATATTATTGCAATCTAACACAAAGAAAATCTCGCTCCCCCACTCCCTGCATCCCCTCACCTGTTAAGGACAAGTATTCTCTGTCAATCTCTCAAAACACACACTGTAACGATGCTGGTTCTGGCAGGACCCAACTGAGAGTGCCAATTCAGGACAAATTGCTTAAAACAGGGCAGTTACAGCCCAAGGCTGGGGTTTTTCCACCTCGAAGGCAAACCAAACCAGCCAGACAAAGAGGACTTTGGTCTAGCCCCGCTGGCTAACCACAAGTCACTCAAGCAATTCTCTTAGACTCTCCAGTTTCCCAGTATCACCACCAGTGCCACTCGTTATGGGGACAGATTGTTATGAAAACCAATACCCCAGTAAAAGAAAAAAGGTTCTCTCGATCCCAAAGAACCAAGCCCCAGACCCAGGTCAATATACAGATCAGATCTTACCCACATATCACGCTGTTGCCAATCTTTTAGAATCTAAAATCTAAAGGTTTATTCATAAAAGGAAAAAGATAGAGATGAGAGCTAGAATTGGTTAAATGGAATCAATTACCTACAGTAATGGCAAAGTTCTTGGTTCAGGCTTGTAGCAGTGATAGAATAAACTGCAAGTTCAAAATCAAGTCTCTGGAGTACATCCACAGCTGGGATGGGTCATTCAGTCCTTTGTTCAGAGCTTCAGTTTGTAGCAAAGTCCCTCCAGCGGTATGAAGCAGGATTGAAGACAAGATGGAGATGAGGCATCAGCCTTTTATATTCTTTTACAGGTGTAAGAACACCTCTTTGTCCTTACTGTGGAAAATTACAGCAAAATGGAGTCTGGAGTCACATGGACAAGTTCCTGCATACTTTGCTGAGTTACAAGGCGTATCTGCCTTCTCTCCATGGGTCAATTGTATAGCTGATGATCCTTAATGGGTCATCAAGCAGGCTAGGCAGAGCTAACACCAACTTATCTGGGATGTTTCCCAGAAGCATAGCATAAGTTTGAAATACAGACAGTATAGAGCCAATATTCATAACTTCAACTACAAAATTGATACACACATATAGACAGCATAATCATAACCAGCAAACCATGACCTTGTCTTAGACACCTCATTTGACCCCCTTTATACAAGATTTGGTGCCATTACAGGACCTTGGTTGCAACCATGTTCTATATGGTCCCAGTTCAAGTCAATAACCTGACACACACATATGACATAGACTTATCATCATTGATACATTTTTTACTCTTACTTCTTTAGTAAATGAAAGGAGGTTGTGGGAATGTTTGGCTTCTGATAAGGGGTTTCCAACCTGAAAAGTTTGAGAAATTCTGCTTTGATTCCATCCCTTGTGATTTTTAATGAGCAGTGGGATGTGATCATGGTCTGCTTATCCTCTGAAAGATATTAGCTTTCCTATGCAGACATGCTTCATCTTGTTGTCTATGGCAGGGCAGCCATGTTTATTCATTTTACACTTGCCGATAGGTAACACATTTTTATTCACACACCTCTTAGAATTCTTATCAGCTTTTGTAACAAAGCGGCCTTTGGCGGGACACTACTGAGAGTATTAATTCAGGACAAATTGCTTAGAGCAGGCAGGGCCGGCTCCAGGTTTTTTGCCGCCGACGAAGCAAAAAAAAACCCCCCAGAGTGCCACCCCTTGAAAAGTGCTGTGCCGCCCCAAGCACATGCTTGGAACGCTGGTGCCTAGAGCCGGCCCTGAGAACAGAGCAGTCACAGCCCAAGGCCGGGGGCCCTTCACTACTAAGGCACACCAAACCAGCCAGAGAATCAAACACGTTGAGCTACATGTACATAGCCAATATTCATAACTTCAAATACAAAAATGATACACATCGACAGACAGCATAATTATAACCAGCAAATTACAACCTTTTCATAGACAGCTCACTTGACACCCTTTGTACAAGATTTGGCGCAACTATAGGACCTTGGTTGCAACAGTGATCTATACGGTCACAGTTCATGTCAATGACATCACAGCCTCATTTTAAAAAAAAATCTCTTCTGCCTGTGGAATAAGCAAATCAGCAAGAACTCACCCACACCATTCTTATTATGTGGTGAAAGTTTCCCATACCAGTAAGCGCCACTATTGCTCTCTGTACTTGTCCAATACTATATTAATTCCCTAGTGTATACCAGCCAGACCAAGGCCAGTGAAACGGCATTTGCCTGTGTTATGTTACATCTGACCTAATGTTGTGGTGAGAATCTGGGAAGGTTGCCCGGTCTAAACTGCTGCTGCCTCTAGACAGTCCAGCTGTGGATTTTGCAGCCCTCGAGTGTAGTTCCCTGTAATTTCCATTGCACTGATGTATGTTAACCTGTGCTTGGTGCATTGCCTTGCTGTGCATTTGCACTGTCCTCTCACTTGAGACCTAGTGCTGGCACAGAGCAGCTTGCCCAACTCCGACTGAGACACATGCATGCACTTCTCATTGGTGTTGTCAATATCAGCGTTCATATCATATCAGTGTGAACAGAATATCACCTGGGGCTGGGGTGGGCAGGCCCACTAACTGCTGTGGCATGATGTTACCTTACTGACTATGAGTCCTATCCCTGAGTAGGCTTGGCAGGACTCAATTTAAATTGATAGATGTTGGTAAAGGTCAATTTCATCTGCACACTGAAATATATGAAAAAAAGTATCCATGGGTAACAGTCGGTGCCAGTGCAGCCTCCATCCTGCACCCTGTGCCTGCAGGGATTGGGTGTCACTGGCCCTGTAGCAGCACAGGGAGCCTTCTCCAATGCTGCTGGCACAGATCCGCTCTCTCCCTCACCAGCTGGGAGTGAGGAAGCTGTCCCTGGACAGGGGGTGGCCTCCCGCACAGCCAGGGGCTCATCCTCTTCACGGCCCTGACCTCTCTGATCTGCCCTGCGAGGACCGCAGCCTCCCCCACAACTTGTGCTTGGGGGTGTCTTGGGCTCCTTGGCCATGCAGGAAGCCCCCTAGAGACCCTCTGTCAGTACTGCCCTAACCTAACTCCCCCTTAATTTCCTGCAGCTGTAAAAATTAAAACCACATAAAATAAAACACCTTAGAAACAAAAATCAATATTAACTTTCAAAAGTAGAAAAAAAATAAAAATCACATTCTTCCGAGTCTGCCCATGACACTGAGCTCTTTCGTGAGAGTAGGTGTAAACCTGATGCTTATGAAGTTCTTCTGCTTAAAGAAATGGTTTTGCCAGTGTGAGCTGATTGTGATGAGTCAGAAGGAAAACTTACATCCTTGATATGCTCGAGGAGTTCATTTACGCAGCTTGGTGGTGCCAGCAAGAAATATATTAAATCTGAATGAAAGCTTTAATTTGGTCCCTTTAATTTTGGCACTAAACTCTAGAACACGCCCATTTAATTAGATTATTGCTATTTGTACTCACCACCCATCACTGAATTGTAACCTATGCCCCTTTATTTTGTGGTTTCAATCTCCCACTGTTTGCTTTGTCGCCTTCAGGGTTCAAGTGGTGATTGTCAGAGCCAAGTGCTCATGGGAAAAGCTGAAAGCCATTTTGAGAGGCTTTGCTGAAATACATGCAAAGTCTGAATCTCAGTATTACCCACACTCTCTGATTATCAGAGTCTCTACCCCAGCCCTCCATCTTCATAGTGGTGTCCTTGCAACAGAGAATACACAGCAAGCCATTCTAGGAAGGGATATTATTGATTCAGGCTTGGATATTCCATCATCCTCAGGCTCCAGGTTGTGGCAGCTGGCAGCATATGGGAAAAGCCCACCACAGGACACTTTGAAAAACTTTTTTGTATAGCAAAGCCACAGAGGGCTTATCTTAAATCATTTGAGAGGACAAAATACACAGAGGCCTCTGTAGCTTCCTCAAGGCCTCACAGGGCTAACTTTAAATCTCCAAGGCTTTGTTTCAGTACTTTCCCTACTTGGCACAGGTTAGTAGACTGTTAGGAGATGGAAAGCGCTGACTGCAGCTTGAGATGGGGTGGGCCAAGTAGTTGAGCTCCTTTAGTAAGAGAGCAAGAGGAGATAGAGCCAAATTGGGGGGGCAGGGAGAGCATGTAGTCAAGGTTTTCAAGGTCTGCTCCCTGCTGTGCTTCATAAAAGGAGAATAGCACTGAAAAGAATGACAGCGAAGAACATTTCTGCCACATCTAATTTCTATACTGCTAATGGTTCTATATAACATCAACAGTGAGATGGAAATTGAATGACTTTTAAGTGCACCTATTGTAAGTGGAGTTCTGTGACGTTATTTCTGAGCCATATATTGTCATAGGTGCTGGAACTAGGCCTGGTGGGGGTGCAGTAGCACCCCCCCTTGGTTTGAAATGGTTTCCATCCTATACAGAGGTTACAGTTTTGTTCAATGGCTTTTAAGAAACCCCTCCCTGCCCCCCATTAAAAATTGTTCCAGCACCTATGATACTGCCCTGGATCTAGCTTGCAAACACAGAGATCTCAATGGAAGTTTTGTTAGCTCAAGGTCAGCATATTAAGAGTGTGTTATAAACAACTGGATAGATCATCGTACTCTCCTCTCCTTAGGTTGTTATTGCAATCATTTATAGGGCATCCGTCTCCATAGCACCTTAGTATACTTTACATGCTTAACACAACCCAGATAAAATGAACAGATAAATTACACATCATTGAGACTTTCAAGAGACAGAGAAAAACAGAGGGATTTCAAAGTGTACAGTTGGTGGGTAAAAGGATGAGTCTTGCATCATGTTCTATACATGGCCAGGTTTGGGTTCAGGCTATTTTTTGGCAGAAGCAAATTTTAGACATAAAGGCCTGCCAGAGAGAATGCTGTGCCTCTAGATCCTTAGACAATTACCTGAAGAGTTCTTGATGAGCGCAGGTAGGGCTACAGGTCACAGAGGGAGAGGCTTTCAGAGGTATGTCTGCAATTAAACACGTATGGCTGGCCCATGCCAGCTGACTCTGCTTTGCCGGGCTGAGGCTGGAGCCCAGGCACTGGGACTGTCCCCACTTGCTGGGTCCCAGAGCTTGGGCTGCCGCCTGAGCCCGATTGTCTGCACTGCAGCGTTACAGCCCCGCAGCCCATGCTCTGTGAGGTCAAGTCAGCTGACGCAGGTTAGCTGTGGTGTTTAATTGCAGTGTAGACATACCCTTAGGTGTGTGGCCCCGAAAGTTCTGTGTTGCTCAGAATCCCTAGATGTTTTCCTGCACAGTGTTTTAGGAGTGTAGGGCCATGATTCTTCAGCTGATCCCACAGAGGTGCCGGGGACTCTCCCCCTTCTTGCAGCAAGCAGGGGGGCTGGCATTGGCATTCATATTCAGGAACCACAAGGAAGCTGTTGGGCAGGTGCCTCTTGCCTACTCTTGTGTATTGTCTTAAACTACATTAATTCTTCAGAGCTGCGACTGTTTCATACAATGGGCTGGTGTACACTACAGCTGTAAGTCAACCTAAGTTATGCTACTTGAGTTACATAACTTACGTAACTGAAGTCTATGTAACATAGGTTGACTTACAGTGGTGTCTACACCGCTCTGTGTCGATGGGAGACGCTTTCCCCTCTGACTTCCCTTACGCTTCTCGGAGAGCTGGAGTACAGAAGTTGACAGGAGAGCACTCTGCCATCGACTTAGTGGGTCTTCTCCAGACCTGCTAAATAGACACCTCCGCATCTATCGCAGCAGCGCCGATTTAGCCTTAAGTATAGACATGCCCTATATGTTTGTACAGCACTTAGCACAGTGGGGCCCAGTGCTGACTGGCACCTCTGAGCACTGTTGAAATATGAATAATAATAATGAACAATAAGTTGAAACCTTGATGCTCCAGTAAGGTAAAGGAAGTACTAGCATGCACAATGTACAATAAATACATGTGGACTAGAATTACGCACTTACACCTGGCTTTGTGTAATTTTGGAGAAAAACAAATAAAGCAGATCAATTTTCTTCAGAAATATCTGGGTCTGTTAATGTTTTACATTACTTTATATATGAAATCCAGATCTGCCAAGTGTCTGTGTTCAAAAATCTCTTCTGCAGGTGATGAAACAGCATAATTGTTTATGAAGATTTTTTTTTCTGAGGGGATTTTTTTATTCAAAATATTCCTCATACTTTGCCTTTTCCAAAATTTAAAAGAGACAATCAGAGAATCAGAGACAATAAAAACACCTGTGCTTGTCAGGTTTTACTACAGACATACTACTTCATGCTACTCAATAGGAAAAATCACATTTTTAAAAAAGCAACACATTCTTTGAAATAGGCTGTGTTGGGGCTGCACGGAAGGAAGGAATTAGCCTATCACATTGAGGTGCCTGCGTAGGATTGTGTGCGTGTGGGCACGGTGGGAAGGGAAACCAGAACGTGATCTTGTGGGGAACTGGCCCTCATGCAGTTCTGCACAGTGCTGGTGTTTGCCAGGGTCAGAAATTATGGGGTGGGAATTCATGTATCCCATTGTAAGAGTAAAATAATACATGCAGTGGGGCGTTTAGCATGTGCGAATCTCTATGTGGGGAGGAGGAAGGATTAGTGATAATGTTTTCAGCCCTCCATGTCTTGCTGCAAGAAAGCTTCAAAGATGATGCACCTTGTCTATACAATGTATATGTATGTATAGAATACATAAACCCAAACAAGAGTAGCAATGGACCTGAACTAGAACAGTTTGGATCAGAACTATCTTCCTTCTCCTCAGACTTCCCTACTCAGGTCTTTCTCTATATGGGCAGAACCAGCAAACTGTATTCAAACACCCTCAACTTTGGGGAAATTCAGATCCAATTTCTGGTCCAAACTTTCTGAGTCAGGTCCATCTCTAAACAAGAATAACTTCTCCACAGGAATGAATGCAATTCAAATATGCAGGTAATTGTGATGTGGTTGTTTGAGAATCTCCTGTAATTGCAGTTGACTAGAATGTGTAGCTGCAGCAGCTGGACACCCGATCCACCACTTTTATCAGTCTTGCACCTTTGTGCATGAGAGATGCTTTGCAGCAATACCAGTCCATTGTCCATTTGCCTTCACAAGCAAATCTCTCAACTGGCAGGGAACGGTCAATCTGTCAGAGATAGTCATTCTGGTGGTATCGCTCAGTCCCTCATTGACAGTTACTGAGGTATGCCAAGTGAAAAAACAACATTAGATTTTAAAGTAACAGTTCAATACTCCTTGAAAGGTATTTAACAACATGAATTTGATTTCAGGTCCATTTTAGTTCATTTCACTCCAGGCTGATTTCTTGTATGTCATGGGGTGAATCCATTGTTTCCAAGTGTCTCTATTTGTTTTAGTCTTGTTTTTGCTGTCAATGTGAGACAACTGAGAGAGAAGCTTATATTGGAAAAAAGATGCCAGAGTGAGCCTAATTTTCTAGACAGTTGAAAAAATTCTTTCCCCACAAATCTTGCAGCTTTAATAATTGTGTGTTATGCCCCAATATATTTTGAACTGCACAGAGCACTGGTATTTATTGTGCATGTTTTTCATTTTGCTCCTTATTTATCTACCAGAAAATATTTATTGAAAAGCCCTCAACATTTTTTCCTGGTCTTCACAACTTTACTGTGATACCTGACCGGGATCCCAGAAGGTTCAGTTAGATAAACATCAAACAGGTAGAGAGTCCCTGCTTCCAATCCCTTGATGGTCTGTGTGGTAACTGCTCGTCGTAGATTTATATCATAGAAATATTTGCACAGCACTTTCTCAGAGTTGTGTCTGGATTTGGGCCCTGAGCACCTGTCTGCACTCCTCACCTCCATCCAAACTTGATCCTCTTTGATCCTTTTCTTGTACACACAGTACTTGCTCTGCTCTTGTGTTCCTAGCCAGGCAATGGTGACTGAATTGCAGGTCCTCAGTTTACTGAAGGACTTGATTTTTAAGCTTTCTGGAAGAAGTGGGAAGAAAGGCTTGTGGAAGTGAGAGGATACTTGAACTTTCACAGAAGAATTAGTATGGTCCATGGACCTTAGCTGCACCAAATACGTGTCCAGCAGCTTTCCCTTCAGTGAGAAATGTCTGAAGCCTGCAATGTTTTCTGAGGCCAGTACTTTACCATTCCTTGTTATCTGAACCCCTACGTGGCCACTACAAGATTGAAAGATGAATTGGATCTTCTTGTGTCTAGCCTGGTACTGCAAGCTGTAGAATTTCTGCTTTTTCCCATCCAGGGTTAGATGAATTACCTTCCCATCCTTCAGCTCAATAACTTTAGGCTCAGGTTCCTCAAGAGTTCTTGCAAATGTTCCAGTGTAGGCAGCACTTGCATTAGTGAGGAGGTTGACTACAAAAACATCAAAGTAATATTGAGTGCTGGGTCTAAGGTTGGGCACTGTATAAGTATTCTTGGTGCCCATGCATATCTGCCTCACTTCCCCGTTACTAACCCTGTTGATGATACTTAATTCACTATTGGACAGTATCATCACCTGTTGATGGTCTAGAAGATATGGAAAGAGAGAAAGAGCTAGTGCTGGTGGCGATTTCATACCTGAAGATCTGATAGCTGTCTCAGCTGCACATAAACTCTTGTAGTTGTGTTTTTCATTGACAAGAAGACAATACTGGATGTTTTCTTTGTGCTTTAAGACCGATGGGCTCTGTTTCCAAGCTAGAGTCACAGTTGCATGGCCAATACCGATAACATCTATGCGTGGATCTAATGGAAGTTCTGGATACAGATGCCCAGATGTTGTGTCAGTTGTTAAGTATACAGTAATGTGTGTGTCTCGTTCAATTGATAGGAACTCCAGCATATAGAAAGCAGAATAGGAAGACATACCCATATAAGTCTCCACAGAATTTCCTTTATAGTTAAATATCATGGACACCAACTTTGGAATCTTCTGAGATTTTGTGGCTTCAAGAGTGTCATAATCACCTGCAAGTGAAAAGCAGACTCATCAAAAGCAGACCCAATTGTTTTTCTTTTCATGCCCCGCAACAATTCATCACTTAGCTTCTCAGTTTTATTATTCATATGCCAGAGAAATTCCTCTTGCTACTAGTATTTTATTCTTTAGTGGCTATTCTTTTAATATTGCAAGAGAGAAATAATTTTTTCAAACAGACTATAATTAAACTCCCAGTTGCAAATATATTGACCTATATAGTACCGGATGTCATTGCAACATTTCACTTTCTGTCAGTGTTTCTTCCTGTACTTTACTTAGGACACTGACATTTTGTGTAGTACGAGTTTCCTTTACTCTGATTTTGTGCCTTTACCTGCCTTGTATGAACAAAAAAAGCCAGAGGCTTTGAAGGAATGCCCACTGAGCTAACTAGTCAAGTGAATCTCCCTGCTAATTAACAGCTTGATTCTGGCAGTGTCTAGCTTTTTTAATAATTAAAAAAATGTTATTTTTTTAAACCTATGAAATGATTCTGGAAATTATAAAAGAGAATTAAATTTTCTTTTAACTTGAGGGAAACATAGCTCCGGATTATTCTATGCCTATTGCCTTGTACATTGTATTCCCAGGGAAGTAGAAATGACCCAAATTCTTCCCTCTGCTGCACATTGTTACAAAGAGCAGAAAAGAGGAAATACCAGCCCAAGAGGTCTGAAGCACAAAGAAGGGTGTGAGACGGCTCTGTCAAGAGCACTTCCCTCCCTCCCTGCTGATCTTATGGAACACTCTCCATATGAACATTGTATAGTTGGGGTCCTTGGGTTTTGGGGTGGGTTCTAGTTGTTAATAGTGGAACTGGGGAGTACCCACACTATTTTCCATGCTCCCCTGGCAGCCTGGCAGATATCCAGGTGAGATTCCAGATTAACAAAGTTCATTGCATTGTTAACTCCCCCACCTCAGCTTCTCTTACACTTCCGAAAGAATACGAGCACATGGCTATGGTGGAGGGAACAAGGGCCAGCATCCTCGTCTGTGGCCATAAACTTGTCCTTTCCTTACACTACCCGGAGAAGAGAATTCGTCAGAAACTGAATTTTATCTTGCGGGACTCTATTGAAGTCAATGGCAAAAATACCATTTATTCCAATAGGGCCAGGATTTCACCTGTGGAGTTTTGGGTCCTATTTTTCCAAACCCACAGGTAAGTCCACAGGAAGGGAGATTTGGACCTATAACTTCAAGTTTGCCCAGGCCATTTTTGTTGGTAGTGAGATTTCCTAGATTGGTGACACTTCTTATGAATGGGCTACTTTCCCTCCTGCAGTGATCAGACAGATTTAAGGTTCCTTCCATTTAGCTCTTACCACGTGCTGCTTTTCCAAGGAAGTTTGTTGATGCCTTATGTACCAGTATACTCCATTCAATGGGAACATCACAGGGTGTCACGGTTACCGTGAAAGGAGCTGGGGCTCTGTCTTCCTCCAGAATGAAACAGTACCTGAAAATGTGGATTAAAAATGAACTGGAGGCATTAAGAAACACAGTCATACTGCAGAATCCCAGCAGGTAAATTAGCCATTCATACTGAAGATCTAAAAACTACATTCCACTGTAGGTAATAACGACAATTCTACTATTAGGTACATTAAAGCAATAGCCTAGAGAGTGATCTACATTTTCTTATGTTAAAAGAATACATATTGTGTTTCTTTCTAATCCACAAAGGTTTTCTTCAATATTGTCTATTTATTACCGGGTAGATGTATTTCACAATACTGACTTTTTAGACTCTATGGGACAAGTAAATACTATGGTATAATGGAATTAGGAAAGTGACTTCTATTAGAGCTCCATTCCCAAGCTAACACTAGGGAAACAAGCATGTGTTTGACCAAAATGGGATACCCAGGTTTCTTGCTTGGAGCAACCAACAATGGGTTCTGTAAGAATAATATAGTATGTGAGCATCACTCCGTCTTCCAAAGGTCTGAGTCTAAGAGGATCCATTTCGTACGTAGTTCTACTTGTTCTTGATTGGCAGTGTGAGGATGCTACTCCTCAGCTCTCCATCCCAACATGCCACTAGTCTCTCTAGTTGCAATGAGTCTACTCTGCTCATCTGGAGGCTTATACATAGCTTGAAGACATTCATGAAAGCTACTTGATACAAAATTTATATGGGCAGTGAATGCCCTCCATGCATATGGGAAGTAGCTTCCACTCAATGCCCCAAAAGTGATGATTATACAGAGATTCAATTTCTTAACTCTACCTTTGCCTCCTGGTGGAAATGCACTTGGGTAGCACCACAAATGTACTTGCCACTCTGCTAGCATACTGAACCCTCCCTGGAATCCTTAATCTAACCTAACAAGAGTTCAGTTGAACATATTTACTTTGAAAATTTGGCCCACTGTGTATCACTGGTACAAAGTGACATCGGTTCCTGACTGATTCCAGTAAAGCCTAATCTCCAGCTTTACTCCTTTGCTCTTTGTCTGCTCAGGCTCTCAGTGGACTGAGTATGGCCATAAAGACAGGTGGACTCTATTAGATCACAGTACAATAAAATATAAGTAATTATAGTTTTGTACTCATTGGTGAGATGTTATGGACACATAAGGTCACCTCAGAGAGTTTTTACTTATTTTCGGGGTATTGCTACTGGGCCAGAATTAAAGTTGTTTGGTTCCCACTGAGTATTTCCATATTTTTCAAATGTTTCATCTTCTTTTAATTTAAACCTGGGCTCTAAATTTTCTGGTTTTATGTTTGATCTTTGGAAAACTATAAGGTTCTTGTGAGGCTTTCAGTGCTTATAATTAAGTGCATACTTCAAGCCTTTATTCTAGCTGAACCAAGTTAAAAAAAATAATCTGGAAATTGATATGTACCTGTTAAACCACATGCTATAAACCCCTCTTTCTCTTAGACTTTCAATTTCTATGTCCCTTTAACAGGGAGAATTCTTAGGTTCATTCTTGTAGTCATAATTTTGTTATATAACTACATGTGCAGTGTCCTGTTTTCTTTCTGCACAGTGCCCATCAGGACTGAGCCATCTGGCTTACACTCTGCTCTTTGACCATTCTGCAGGAATGTATATCAGATCTATTGACACTAATAATGTTGGTTAGTGTCCAAGGAGTATTTTGGCTGAATCTTGTTAAAGGACATCTCTTCCCAGATATCTATCTGAGGTAGATACAGGGTACCAGACACACACATACATATATATATATATATATACACATACACAGATTTGACTACATACAAAATTCACAGCATTTTGGGAAGTCCAGGTTAACCTTCAATGGAATTTCCATATTAAAAATTCTTTTGATCTATGCAAGCTTTAGTACTGCTCACCAAATACACAACTAAGCATGCAGTACATCTGAAAGCTGATTTTCAGTTTTAAAGTATACACTTATTGTAATGATTTGGGTAGTTAATTTATTGAGGAAAAATATTTGCAACTGACTTTGACCTGAGGCCCTGGTGCTCCTACAGTTTTGTAGGTCAACTGATTAAGATATCACCTGGATATGCAGCAATAGCTATTCACATTTGGAGCCTAATGTAAACTCAGCAGTAATTGCATCAATTAAGAGCTAAATAGGGAAAAATCTTACAATGAATCTACATAGCTGAAATCTATCTTAAAAAATCACTCCAGATTCTAGTTAAGTTTTTCAACTAAGAAGGCAAAAAAAGGAAGGGGAGGCTGGAAGGAGATATTGGAAGATACTTTCAAGGGACAGCAATATTGCATTGCTTGGCTCAGGGTACTAAAGGTAGCACTGCCAGAGCATTGCAGGTAAGGAGTGTACAGCAGTTATCTCCTTGATATTAGCAGTAGCAAGTCTGCATGTGCCATAGGGCAGGAAATGAAAAATAACATATGCGAATTTGTATTGAATGATTTGCTCCTACCTTTTAGGTATATCCTTCAACAGGTGGACTGTGGTTTCCTTACCATCTACAAGAATCAGGGAATGATTACAGTTGAAGAGATCACTCTTGAAGCTGTGTTGGGAACTGGTGGGCACCTTTATAGAATGACACAAACACATGGCCACGAGAAGATGGAAAGGCAGGTAAATCCAGAATCTGAACATCTTCAGCACTACAAGTTGGGGTAATAAAAGTTTATAGCGATTGTTACCATTGGGGAAAACAAAACAAACAACCACAAAAACCTCTCCTTTCATGTACCTCTCATTGTGCTTTGCCAATAATCATTATTGTCACAAATGGTAAAAAAAAATCAGTGTGCTGCAGAATGCTGCTAATCTGCACTTTGCTAAATCATTTATATTCACAGAGAAATGTCTCAGTCTTGTCCCAGCTCTCAGCAAAGATTAAATAGCAGAAGCTGTAGTAAGGGCTCATATTACCAAATATATGTATAATACAGTGTATATATTGCATGAGTATAATATGAAGAAGAGAATTATCAATAAAACTAAAAACAGCTGACAAATGAATGGACAAAATACATTTGAAGATACCTTATCCTGGCTTATTTATTGCATTAGTTCACTTGGTAATTTTACAGATTCAGTAATTTGCAAGGAGTCTCCCAATCACAAATTAGTGCTAATCTATTGTATTCCTAATGCTGCTGCCACCTGTGTTTTTTGTAATTCTATTTTTATTTCATACTGATTGTAAATTCATCAGGATTACAGGTATGTGCACAGAAAACAAATGATATAAAAGGGAAAAGAGTATATGGAGAAGAAGGTGGTAGACCCCAGGTGAGAGACAATGTGTTGGGACATAGTAGATTTTAAATTCTTTGTGTCTTTTATTTAGAGGAAGCCTGTATTATAATGCAACGATTGGACAAATAGTTCTGAAATTCCAGCACTTTATATCTTCTTCCTTCCAGCATTCTCTCTCAGTAGGTGTACTTTAGGATGTTTCCAGTCAATCTCTGCAGTCTCTTGGTTTTAAACTAATGGTAGTTTGCACCCATGTCCCTCTGATTCAGACTTTTAAAATGTCATATTTTCCCCTTTGCTGAGACACTTTATTATCTGCAGGGAATGTAGTCAAGGAGCATGTGAGGCTTAGGCAGTTCCAGCAAGGGGTCTGTGAAAATGCAGATGCTGTTAAAAATGGAACACCACATCTATGATGTATAGAGCTACACAAATAAAAAGGGTTAAGTAAGTACTGGAACTTTCTGCAGTGTATTATTGTGTTAGATTGCTCATTATCCTCATAGTATTCTTCCATCTGCCTCACATTAATCTAAGGAGAGAGAGAGAGCGAGAAGTGATGGACCTGAGAGAAGGGGAGAAGAACAAGTCTCTTCAAAACTGATGTGAAATGCAGGGCAGTGCGTTGGTAGGCAGGGGGTGCTCTGTGAGCAGTATCTCTTTTGAAAAAAGACAACCTCTTGCAACTTATAAGCAATAGGAAGGAGTAAAGACATCAGCAAATGTGATTATCAGCCAGTAAAAGATGAGCGAATAAAAGAAAAATAATCTGTGACATGAGGAATCCATGATGTATAATCAGTACAGTTTTTGTGACTGGCAGTTTCCTTTTGTAGCCTGTGTTAAGAAGAACTCAGCAAGTCAAAAAGTCTACAGCTTAGCTGAGCTACTGCTCATTAACAATAATATTTATAAGTGGAGCAGAGTTTTAATATTTCCATCTTGGTCCTGTACATTTAAGTATAGTTCTGAATCTATTTGCAGATTATCATGTGGAAAACTTGTTTTCATTGGTGATTTCCAAAATAACTAGTATGTCTCACAGGCTATGATACTACAGAACATCCTATTTAACATCTTAATATCCTGTTCCATTCCACTTTGAAAATGTGTTGGTAACATTTAAAACACCTGACGAATAAAATATAGAACTATGCTAATAAGTCTAGCAAGAGTTGCGAATATTATTCTTCCTCTTGATTACTTGCGTAAATCCCTTTACAATAAAGCTTTTCCTCTGATGGTAATGTTTCTCTGTCACTTTTGCCATTCTTTTGTTCTAACTATAGCTTATTAGCTCAAAATTTAACCCTGGAAGTATTTTTCTTTACCTTTTAATAAGGCATCCAAATTGCCCAGCACTTCAGAGTTTTTACTCTTGCTGCTGTTTAAATGGTATTTTGCAAACAACATTCACATAGTGTCTGCAGTATTTTTGTTTTTTGGGGTTTTTTTTGTCTAGGAAAGAAAAACAAACAAGTAAACAAACACCATACATAATCAGCTTATCCTTAATAGAACATCATCCTAAAGGCTGACTTCTCTTGATTACACAGACAACATACTCTCAGATTCTTGGAGACACCTTTTGCAAAAACAAACAAAACAAAAACTAAAAACAACAACTGTTCTTACCTATTGTGTTTATAGACAGATGCTCCTCAGACCACTCTCTTATTTGCAGAAGCAAAATAAAACAAAACAACATAGACTTTTCAGATCTCTGTAGATAGATGAAAACCAAAACTATGAAACCAGTTTAAGAGGACAGAATTGATTTTTCCATATAGCTCCCACATAGACATTAACTAAAATGCCTGCAGTCTTTCAAAAGGGGAGGGTTTTTGTGTTTTTTGGTAACCTGTGTAATTTTGAAATCTTCAAAGTCTAAGTTGTTGTTTCATTTCTCAAATGTCTTCTGTGGAAAAAAGTGCATGCATGTATTCTCCCTCAGACAGTGAGACCTTATTCTTTGCACAAGGTGTCAGCCAGACTGTTAACGCAGCCTAATCCCACCGGTGGCTGGCCAGAGATTGGGTCTTTGACAGAAATGCATGGAGAGGAGGAGGGGGTGAGAGAGAAAGAGAGTGTGAACACATTTAACTCCTTTTATTCCACAGTATTAGCCAGCTATGGGGCATAGCTATCTCTGCATGAAACTTATAGTGTTGTATTAATGGCTCTGTGATTCTTCTAAACTGCCCTTTGAGTATTCGCAATCTCATTCAAACTGAATGCATCCCTTGAAATAGGAGGTGGAATGTGCAGTTTCTTAGACCTGCAATATCCCCAGCACTGGAGAAGTTCCATATTATTTCAGATGTATTTAATTTCTGTATTTTTTATGTCCCAAAGGGTGCCAATTCAAACACAAAAGGAAGTGAGAAAAGTTATGAGGAAGGGACTGCTCTGAAATTTTTAAAACCAGTCTGGAAAGAACAATTCTGAGCAGAGCTGTGCAGATATCTTGGATTCCTGAAGCTGTGTGGGAAAGAAACTCTAGAAGTCTATGGGCTAATTCTGGCTGGGAAGCCAGGGGAGAAAAGGTGCAGGGGGGAAAATTCACATAGGACACAAAAAAATTGCTTCTGTCAACACCCAGTGATACTCCATGGTCCCAAATAGGCATGGCCCATCTGCACGAGCCCAGAGGCATGGTCAGGTCTCCTTGCTGCTTGTACTTGTTGGCATCTGTCAGCAGACATTGAGGGGAGTGCATGTTGCTCTCTTTCATGAGGAATATGTACTGTTTCTTAAAATCTGTGAAGGAAGTCTGGCAGTAGGAAGCTGGGTGAGGGTTTAGGATGGAACTATGTAGTAAAGCAGAGGGAGAGAGAGAAGTTTTAGGGCCAATATGGTTTTCCTTATTCTAAAGTTATTCAATGTTTGCAGGAAGTGACTCTTACTGTAATTCTTTACCACTGCCACATGACATGGTGTCAGAAGCTGATTCATTTTGAGCCAACATAAATAAGAAGTCAAGAAAAGGCCAAAATTCAACCCTCTGCAAGACTCTGAGATTGCTAAACCCACGGAGTGGCCAACGTGGAGAGAGCACTTTACTAGCTTCTGCATAACAAAGAAGCCTAACACAGAAATCGGCAAAATACAAGTCAGCTCATTCATTTATGCGATAGGGAGCAAAGCCAAAAATATGTATAAATTGTTTGCCTTCATGGTGGAAGCCATAAGCTATAACTATGGTATTGTTCTTAACATGTTTAATGAACATTTCTTTCCACAAAGAATCCATGAATGCCCTTGCTTTTACCAAAGGGATGCAGAGAAAGTGTGGCACTATATGAACAAGCAGCGTATTGTGACTTTGCTATTGGTAAGGAAGAACACATGGGAGATAACTTTAAACAAGGAGCTTTCAGAAAAATCACGGATAATGTCTGTGCTAACTCCAGAACAGGCAATGCAATAGGAACAGCCCTCTGAGTTAATGAAATTGCAAGACACCTCATGAGGAAGCCAAGAAAGTATTGTGCAACTAGTAACCAATAAAATGTTTCCATGGTGAAAAAGAGGCACAAGAAAGAAAGAGAACGCCTCTAAAGAACAAGACATTTCCTGAAATGTGGTAGGTGTGGCAAGGGAGAACCCAGATAGATGAGGTTTGCCCAAATAGTGGGAACATGTGCAAGGAATGTATAATAATAGGAAACTGGGAGAGTATCAGTTACATCAAAGGAATCAGGGGGGCCTTTTCCCTGAGATCTGTAGAGATTCATGGGCAGAAATGTCTAAACAGACTTTTAAGGAGATGCGCCCTAGCCTGAAATAGGAGCAGCACAGAGTAGAGCCCAGTGACCCAAAGGACAGACATGTTGATTAAGTCAATTCAATATCCACAGAAGATACAAAAGCAAGGAAGGCATGTTTGACACATGTGTCATTACTGGAGTGGGCCCACTACAATTACTCTTTCAGACCACTTCATAGCTATTGACATAGGCCTACCAGTGAAGTCAATGTGAGTCTTTGAGTGAGTGTGAATGTTTATGTGGAGGCACAGACTATGGGAAGACATAAAAACACCAGGGGCCCACAGTTTGGTCCTATGAATTTCTGGAGGGACAATGCCCCAACCTTGCAACCCACCTCCTGGATGACAGATGGTTATGCCACTTTAATAGATGAGCTGATACCCTAGGTAATCATCCAAGTATAGGAAAGTCCTTCAGGCTCCTTTCCACTCTGCACTGAGAATTATAGTCCATGAAAATCTGTCACCACATTAAAAATGTTTTGGGGAAAAAAAGAAATCTAGCTCTTCAGTTAATGCCTGGCAGGTGTGTTGTGAGGCTTTATATCTGAAAACTACTTTCATCCTTGGGTGCAAAGTGCTATAGCTAGTTGTAGTATAATAATTCTAATAAACTACATAATTATCTCAACTGGGTTGGAAGGGGAACACACAAATTACTGTGCCTCTTTAGAACTCCCCAGTTCCAAGAGCAAAGTCCAGGATCCTGATACAACACTTAACTGAGGGGGAGTAAAGTACAGAATCCATTATTTTTGGTTTTTGCAGCAAGGTATCCATGTTATATGCCCATTTAAGGATTGGGAATCTAAGGGCCAGATCCTCCACTAGTGTGAACTGGCAATGGAGCAAATCAGCAAAATGGAGCTATGCTGATTTATACCAGTGTGGGGGGCTGGCCCTAAGTGTTCGGGTATTCCCCTTTTGGATGGCTGCTAACAAAGGTGCAAAACATGGTGGAGCTTTTTGTTATGTGGCTATCTGACACAGACCTTCCTAACGGCCATCTGATGATAATGCTCTAGAGTGGCTACCAACCTGTGTTTAAAGATCTAAAGGAGGAAAGTTCTGTGCTATGTTACTGATCCCCTCAGATGGTCATTCCCCCTTCCAAAAACTCCTGCTGTGTATTGCCTAGGTCAGATTGCAATGGAGGGAGAGGGAAACGTTTTCATGTTTTTGCTACACTAACTTCGTTGGGTTAATTCTGTGCCTGATTGGTTGCGGCATTGTATAATCTAATACACCTGATATTTTCATGTCTGGCAAGCTGCCATATTTTGTTTCTGGCAAGAAATATGACTTCCAACTTGTTTAAATGAATATAGAAAGAGGGCACCTCTTTAGAATTCCCACCTGCTAACTGGTTGGAATCAGTATCTGCCAGCTACCTGAATTAATATGTCCTTGGGTGGTTAACACACATGATTAATATTCCTGTTCAGAAACAAGATCTTTTAGATACCACTAGGGCTCAAGCAAGTATTATATCTCCCTGTGAGGCTGTGACAGAGAAGTGTGAACAAAATTCTGGTGCTTAAAAAGCACTCACATGTCAGACTTGGAGTATATGGTTCTAATGACTGGAACAGTTGTTCCTATTTCTTTTATGTTTTGTCAAACGCTGGCAATGCATAAACACTCTGAGTATTGTCCAATAAGGGCAAACTGAGCCTGTTCCAAATCAGAGAAATTAATATGCCATAGGTATAGGGAGCTGCATGTAGAAAAGAGAAAACAAGCTAGACTGTCCAATACTAATTTTTTCTTGTAGTACGTGTCCATTTGTTAGCTTTTTTTAAAGTGTAGATTGTTTTGACTGGCATAGCTGTTGTCCTGGCATCCCCTATTAGCTTTGTGGGAGCAGAACTCATTGCTTTTTCATGTTCTGGCTCCAATGTCCCCACTCCAGGGTATGCCTATGCTGTATGTAAAGTTATCTGTGGCATTATGTGGCTCTGACTACAATATCTTTTAAAAATACAGGTGCAGATTTTTCCTTTCAGCAGCCTCATTTCTGAAGAATTCATCTTTGTTTTTATATTTTAGAATGATTTTTTTTTCTGCTTCAGTCTGACCCATTAACTAAGGAAACTAAACTCAGCTTTGAAGAGTATTTTAGTAGGAAACTATCTAACACACACTTACCCACACACACACACCCCTCCAAGTAGCCTGGGAGATACGGGGAGGAAAAGGGTTACTGAGCAAGGTTTGGAGTTTGCAGACGCTGGGAGATTACTTCTCGGGCTCGCTGTATCACATTTGATAGGAAAATTCCTTATTCTTTATAACAGACTTTGTTCCTCAACAAGCATAAAATCAGTCTAACAGAATAACGTGCCAAGTCCCCAGCCAGAATTCAAGTCCCGCACTATGATACTAACAGCTTCTTCATGAATTAAAGAGAAAAACATATTGAAGGACCTGGGCTGCTATCAAGTATCAGGAGGTAGCCGTGTTAGTCTGTATCCATAAAAACAACAAGGAGTCTGGTGGCACCTTAAAGACTAAAAGATTTATTTGGGCATAAGCTTTCGTGGGTAAAAAACCTCACTTCTTCAGATGCAACTGCTATATTCATTTCCCTTCCTCTCTCCCACCCTGGGGTGCTTAGTATTTTAGGTTAATTTCTGTTAAATCATGCCTTAGAAACATACATAAAACTCCTGCCTGAGCCAACAAAAGCAACAAAACCTTTATTTTGTGTATATGTGTAAAAGTAATGGATGTTTTTCATCTTAACATAATCTTCTGAGCAACTCCATGGAACTTCAATTGAAAAGGTCACAGAAAAAGACAACTTTGCCCGTAATCTGTGTCATTTTAATAGGGTAATCCTATATTTTGTTTTTAGCTAGTGTGTCGCTGTCAAAGATGTCATGGGATTAAATTATTATAAATAGAACTAATCCACCATAAAACACAATTAAAGAGGAATGTCCATGTATTTTATATGGCAGAGGTTCTCAAATACTGATATGAGCTTCTTTTTAACAACAAGTTGGAAACAAACAGGCAACTCTGAGCAAGCAGACTATTTCATTTGATTCAAGTACAGGGCTGCCAAATCTCATTTATCTGCAGGGAGACTCTCTTGTTTTGCATTAGTCTGAAGACATTTTTACAGCACCTCCACTCTAAAGGAGAAGTATTTTCTTTGTGTGTGTTTCAATGAGATTTAAACTCTTGTTCAGTCTTTGTGGAAAGCATCTTTCTTCATGGAGCTGTGACAATTTGAATG